AAAAAAAAAAAAAAAAAAGACCACTAAGTAGTTGTCCTCCCATCTCTTTTTGGACCCATGGATACTGAGTGAGGCAGGCAGAACACTGGTACAGAATCTTTGATTGCTAAAAATTATCAGGCTGAGCTCATTTTACTAAACTCACAGTTATACTGGTGAGCTACAAAGAAAGAAACTAGCATCATTTCTCCAAATACATCAGTGACCTGCACATAAAATGCTAAAAGCAAAACAAATGAATTCTGTTCCAGGCTCCATTAAGAAAGTCAACCTTTAACTTTTGAGTTTCAACTTTACCTATTTATTTGTTGTTATTCTAATTGTATAGATATTTTATTTCCATGTATGTCTGTGTGCCATGTGCATGCCTGGTACTCTTTGAGGTCAGAAAAGGGCACAGAATCCTCTAGAACTAGAATTACAGAGGGTTGTAAGTGGCCATATGGGTGCTGGGAATCATACCAAGATCCTCTGAAAGAGCAGTCAGCAGTCTTAAGTGCTGAACCATTGCTCTAGCCTAAAATAATCGACACACTCATACATACAAACACACTAAAGTTAATAGCACATGTTGTTCTTACAGAGGACCTGAGTTCAATTCCCAGTAGCTCTATGGGGCAGTTCTCACTAAGGAAGGAGGAGAAAAGAAGCTGGGCCTTTGAGGAAAGGCTGGACAGTTCTGCTTAACACCTACCACTTCAGATATGCTGCCAATACAGTGTTTATCATGCTTCAGAAAAAATAATCACGCAGGGGATAATCAAACCAAAAAATAAAGTACCCATGTGCCGTGGTACTCATACACCCAACACACACACTGGCAAACGGATTTAATTTGGGGATTCTCAATTAATTGTTCCTGTTACCATAGTATAGATGAAGCACAAATTCAATAATTCTGTACTTCTGAAGCCTATTTTGTAGTTTTTTGATATGGAAAAAATTAGGTTAGAAATATACAGAAGCTGGTCAGATGGTTCACCAGATAAAGGTGCTTGCAGCACAAACCTGACGACTCCACAAAGTTGCCATCCCTCCTTCACTTGTGTGTTGTTACACTTCTGCTCACACACACATATCATGCACACACAGAAATAGAGTTAAGAAAAAAGTTGTAGTTTTCTTAAAGAAATATACATAGTGACATTCACAGTATAGGAAAAATCATTTACTAGAGTTTTTCCTTCTCAAAGTACAGCCATAAAGGAGCTCAATCTACCTTCATTATGTTACCTTGAAAGATTCTTTACAAAAAAACAAAAAACAAAAACAAACAAACAAACAAAAAAAAAAAACAAAAAACGTGCCCAAGCATGATAGCACACACCCTTAATCCTGGCCTTGGGAAGCTGAGCCAGGTGGCTCTCTGTGTAAGTTTGAGGCCTGCCTGGTCTACATAGTGAGCTCCAGGTCAGCCAGAGCTACATCGAGAGATCCTGACTTAAGGAAGGAATGAAAGAAGCAAGACAAAAAATTTATGTATATGGTATGGTGGTTTGACTAAGAATGGCTTTTCAAAGGCTCGTATATTTGAGTGCTTAGTCACTGGTAGTGGTGCTATTTGAAAGGATCAGAAAGATTAGGAGGGATGGCTTGGTCAGAAGAAGTGTGTCACTAGGGGGTGGGCGTTCAGGTTCCAAAAGCCATTGCCAGGCCCAGTCTCCCCATCTGCCTAAGGATCAGGATGTAGCTCTCAGCTACTGCTCTAATGTCTGCCTGTGTGTCATCATGTTCTCCACTGTGATGATAATGGACTAACCCTCTGAAACTGTAAGCAAGCCCCCAATTAAACGCTTTCTTTCATAAGAGTTGCCCTGGTCATGGTATCTTTTCACAGTAATAGAACAGTGACTAAGACACATGGGTATTCTGTCTGCATGTATGTCTGCATACTACATGCATGCAATGCTTAAGGAAATCAGATCCCCTGAGACTGGAGTTACAAACAGTTGTGAACCACCATGTGGGTGCTGGGAATTGAACCCAATCCTCTGCAAGAGCAGCCAGTGCTATTAACTACTCAGCCATCTCTCCAACCCTCTATCTTGAACAATTCTTAAAAAAAAAGAACCACCCAGCACTCGGGAGGCAGAGACAGGTGAATCTCTGTGAGTTCGAGGCCAGGCTGGTCTACAAAGTGAGTTCCAGGAAAGGCACAAAGCTACACAGACAAAACCCTGTCTCGAAAAACCAAAAAAGAAGGAAAAAAAAGAAGGGGGAAAACAAAGAACCACTTTTGGCAGACTTAACCCATAGAAAAAAGATAAAACCTAGTATCTTTTTATCTGTAACCCAGCAGGCAGCTACATTCAATTAGCCACTTTGCAACCCAGAACTGTGTACAGGGTTCCTACCTGCACTTCACAACTGGTGTATTGAAAATGCACAGAATGTCCCTGACTGTCGTCCACTTCCCCCTCTGTTCTGACATCCCTCTCGCAGTGATCCTACTCATCACACACTCATTACCACAGAGGGCAGTAAGTCCACCTTAGGCAGCGTTTGTTTTATATCTATACTGAGAAAATTGCAGTAGCATTACCCATGGGGAACCTTATAACTTCATAATATCCTGGAGCTTCTGTTCTCTTCACAGGTTCCATGAAAGGCCAAGCACTTTGATGGCTCTTCACCTGCTGCAGGATGTTCTTAAGGGTGCTGTGCAGCTGCTCGGGGTCTTTGGGCTCTTTACTTGAAAGAATAGAGAGTAAAGAGGGAGGATTAGTGTTCGTGCTCCAGGCCTCATCACCACTCAGCTCAGCCTCACAGGTCCCAGCCTAGGAACTGAAGCCCACCAACTGCTATTTACCAATTACATCACTTGGCCCTTTTCCTAGAAAGTGCTGGAAGGGACAAAATCACTTCCATTAATATCCTCTAGCCCGGCTTGCTTACCTTTTCTCTTTTCCACTTGGTTTCCAGCCTGTCTCTCCTATATGTCAACAAAATTAAACACTAAATGAGAACTGCTTTGGGTCAAGAGAATAACATACTTACTACTTATTAAAAGCACCACACATGACAGCCATGTCTCAATAAATGTCTATTTGGGGAAACACACTGAAATTAATGGCATTTATTTTCTTTCTCACACAGTTTACAACATAAAATGCTTTCCCAGACTGCCAGCTATATTAATATATTTTGTTCTCTTAACTGATTTATTAATTTCTTTTGTAGTGCTGGGGATTGAAGCCAACACCTCACACCACTACTGAGGCAAGTGCTCTCTCCCTGAGCTATCTTCTCAGCTTGTTAGTGTCTGCTAAGGCAGGAAGTTCAACTCTTCAAAAGAAGGAAGAAAACAGGGAAAAGAAACCAGGACATTTTAAACTACAAGTCAGAAATCTTCAAATATCACACAACAAAGTGCTGCTGTTATTTTAGCTCAGGACAGGGCTCTGTGCTTGTTCTGCTCGGCCAAGCCCTGCTTGCAATGTAGATGGTTTAGAGAGACCTGGTGTCTGAGCAATCTGGATCTGATTCTTCTGTTCTCCTTTAAAAAGTCACTTTACTCTGGGCAGTGGTGGCGCATGCCTTTAATCTCAGCACTCGGGAGGCAGAGGCAGGCAGATCTCTGTGAGTTCGAGGCCAGCCTGGGCTACAGAGTGAATTCCAAGACAGGCACAAAGCTACACAGAGAAACCCTGTCTCGAACACACACACCCCGCGCCGCCCCCCCCCCCAAAAAAAAGTTACTTTACCTCTCTCTCAGTTTACCCACCTACAAAATGCAACTATAGAAACTAGGTGGTATTAGCCCTTATGACATTAGTTGATGTTTAAAAAAAAAAAAATAGTCCAAATAGCTAAACATTTGATGAACAAGAAAAAAGTAATGAATTGGGAACAAATGAAAACATAAGAATACCTGGCAGCATTAGGCATTGAACAATGTGGCAACTATTTGACTATTAACAGTAACAACATAGGAAAGTGAGATCCAGGGTTCAGCACCAAGAGTACTGGGACAGGGCAGATGCAATGAAACATCATCTTGTCTCTTTCCTGGAGAATTTTAGTTGTGTGCCTGTGTGCTGGGGTGGAGTGTGTGTGTGTGTGTGTGTGTGTGTGTGTGTGTGTGTGTGTGTGTGTGTTGGTGGTGGAGGGGGGGTAATTATAAGAACTTAGGTTCACACCAAATAAGATTGCCCAATGATAATTAATAGCTTCCAATCTACAAATCCCAATCATTTTGTATGGTTTTACCCAGTACAGTTCATTTTTAGCATATTAAAAAGAATTCTTAAGAAAGCTACTGTAAAATAAAATTGGAGAGGAGGGAAGAAGAGAAGTTAGGCAACAGGTTCATGCAGGTGACAGTGGTGTCAAGGTGGGTTATCCACAGCAGGTCATTTGGAGAGCAGAGTGGGTTGCTTCTTGTTCTAAACTTCTGCATGCTAATTTACACAACCATTTGAAGACCAGTTCCTCCATTTGTAAATATGAAAGTCCAAACTTTCCATGCCGTTTAATACAGACTCCTGTTGCCAAGCATTGTGTATAGTGCTAGGCCTTAATAAATTATGTATATTAATAACTCTTTTAAAGGTACTCTGGGTTGAGTTAGGAAGAAAAAGACATTAGAAAGTCTTTATTACTGCCCTCCCCATCCCCACTCAGTGTCTCACTCTAGCCTCGGTTGGCCTCAAATTCTACATCTTCCTGCCTTAGTCTCTCAATGGTGGGATCACAGGCAAGCACCCCACACTAGCTTGCTGCCCACTTCCAAGACCAGAAGTGCCACACATGGAAAGGAAACAGGTGAAAGCTTTTCAAATGACTGCACTCTGGAAATCATTTCAAACATATCTTACAGGATCAACAGAAGATTTTTCTTTTTAAAAGTGTCTATACATACTGATTCCAGGAATGCTTTCTATAGGGATCTGCCGAACTCCATCTTTGAAACATGAAAGTCCAGGGTAGACTTTTCGAATCTGGGCTTGTTTTCTTTCTATCAGCTTTTTAATGATCTGAAAAGCATGAGAGAAAGTGTGTTTAATTCAAAGAAGCCACACCACGATTCAGGGCAAGTCAGATAAACTAAGGAGACGATGTTCTTGATGCTTTACACATGTTCATGAGATGAAAAGGAAGGGAAGGCTAAATACAGATTAGCACGTAAAAGGCAGAACCATTTTGGGGCCCATGACACAGCTTAGTGGGTAAAGGCACCTGCCATCAAGCCCAAAGACCTGACTTCAGTCACTGGGATTCCACATGGTGAAAGGAGAGAGTCAACCCTTCAGGCCTTCACACATGTCATAGAGTGTGTCTGTGTGCACCTCACATAAATATAATATAAAATTTCTAAATATAACTTTAAAAAATATATTCTTTCATACCACACTCAACTAGTGACATTTATACAAACCCTTGCCACTAAGGAAAGGACCAACAGTGAGAAGGAAAGAAAGGGGCTGGTTAGAGAGGTTATCAGGGGCCCTGTAGGTCCAGCCTCTTGTAGTCTCACATGTGAACTGAGATAGAAGAATCACCCTCATACCAACCTACACATATGCACACACAGGCGGCTTCATAGCTCCCTGCCTATTACCTTTTCTCTTGCTGAAATAATGTCTTTCTTTCTCATAGAACAAATGCTCCTACCTGTTCTTGTGCCCATCATCTTATACACTGGAAGTGACTTGACCTTTGTTCAAGCCCCCAATTCATGCAGGTATTCGATGAAGCCATTTCACCTGTGGGCCAGTAGAGTGTTCTTTCTCCACCTTCAGCTGATTCTGATGGAGTATGCATTCAGGGACTAAAAAAAGTTCTCAATTTATGTAGCTTATTCCCTGCTTTTATTATTCAAGGAGCTTTCAAAAAGTAGTGTCTGGCATTTTTGAATATTTCAGAGTTTGGATTTTCTCATTAAAGATGCTCAATCTTAAGTCAATGAAAACATTGGAGAAGAAACAGACTCGTGGGTCAAGAGCATTTTGGATAAGAGATACTTAGCCTGTCTCTACAAGAAAATAATTATTTTATTATGGTATGATTGCACTCTCTTTAAAAATCTTTTTAAATATAAATTTAAAACACTGAGAACAAGGCTCTGAAGGTAAAGACACAGATGGAACATTTCTATCAACACATCCCTCCCCAAAGGCTCAGAGAACATCATGGGAGAAAGGGGCAGAAAGAATGTTAAGAGGCAGCAGATGGAGGAATGCTGTGAAAGGATGGCCTCTGGACACCATTCAACTGGTGCATACATACATGAGTCGTTACCTGCACAAGAGTTAAAAATTACATCATGAAGGGGGTAAAAACTCCAAATGCCCCACCCTTAGATGAGAAGCTAAAGGCAACTGATTGCTTCTGAGGGATGGGTAGAGCCTTTCTTTGTGGGTGTGGTCATTGATAGGTTGTTGATATCTCAGTGGATGACCCTAGCTCATGTGCAAATGGGCAGCATTGAAAGGACTTGGTGATTTGGGGGGGCTGAGTTTTTTTAAGTTATAAAGTTGGGTGTCAGAAATGGAAGACATATTGGGGTAATGGTGGAGGGAGGGAGTAGATAGTGGATAAGACCAAGATACATTGTATATGGGTATGAAAAAAACTATGTTTACATTCTAAACACTCCCATTTAATGGTATGTGTGAGGAAATACTAAAGACAAAGAGGGATGGGAAAAGGAGAAAAGAGGAAAGGAGGGAGCCAAGAGGGAACAGAAAAGAGGAGATACACATTGTCTTTTAAAAGGGGAACCATTTTTTTTTTTTTTAGCAATCTGAAATAACTCTGTGCTTCTTGCTTTCCCCTAGTTTTTAAGAGCTAATACATCATTGCCTGTGGGAATCTGCAGACTTCCAAGGGACTCTGATATTAGAGGATGAACTCTTATGGCTGGAGGAGTATTACAGAACAAGCAGCTGACAGTATAGTGTCAACTGGCCAGCAACCACCAATGCACCAAAGAACTGCCAAGTCCAGACCTGCTTGTTAGGCTTTAGAGAACAGTGAGGGAAGACAACTCTTCAAAAAGGCAGGCCAGAGGCACCTGCTGCCTTTAGTAATCCTTCTACAGCCCTATTTTGAATTCCCTATTGGGCAGATATCTTTTTTGGGGGGAGGGGGGAGTTGAGACAGGGTTTCTCTGTGTAGCTTTGCACCTTTCCTGGAACTCACTCTGTAGCCCAGGCTGGCCTCGAACTCACAGAGATCCACCTGTCTCTGCCTCCCGAGTGCTGGGATTAAAGGCGTGTGCCATCACTGCCCCTGGGCAGATATCTTTGACTGTGCAACAAAGATGTTTTGATTTTCTAACTTAAAATGCCTTTTTGCTCACTTCTGTAGCACCACATGCCTGACCCAACTTTAAATAAAATACTCAGTGAGTGACTGCTGTCACTAAGCATAGTACAAGCTTTCTGGATGTTATTTGGGTCACATGGAGTAAGCAAAAGAGCTGGGAGTAAGGATTTAGTAGAAAGCTGACAGGTTTAAGGCAAATGTGTTTTTTCAGTAACTTGTCAGGGAAAAACAGCAGATTAAGTAACAGTAGTTACTTAATTTGGAACTGATGTCATTCACATATATAAATGGTCCTTGTGGACTTTCATCTATGCCATTCTGCCTTTTTTAAAGTGTTAAAATGAAGTGTCTTAACAATAAGATATTGATGGTGAAAACTGAAAGATCATAGAAGCAGAGCACCCAGCCACCAGAGACTTACCTCTATGAAATCTCAGGCCAAATAGGGCATCCTGTCTCTACAAATCTTCAGAATGAATGAATCTGTCTTCACCAGCCTTATATTCCTATCTCTACCTCCCTAGTGCTGGAATTAAAGTCAAGAACCTCCCAACTACTGGGATCAAAGGTATGAGATCCCAAGTTCTGGGATCAACAATGTGAGCTACCACCTGTTTTTCTTTTAGACCGGTTCAATCTTGTGTATCCCAGTGTGGCCTTGAACTTTATTTTCCTGCTTCCTCCTCCCAAATGCTGGGATTAAGGTGTGTGCCACCACTGCCTGGCCTCTGTAGTTAACTAGTGTCTCGCTCTGCCCTCTGATGTCCAGGCAAGCTTTATTTGTAAGAACACAAACAAAATATCACACAACATTAAATCACTGTATACCCGTATCTGGAGTCTTCTCTGTTACTACTATTTCTTTGTTAGCAGAAAGGAAGCCATACCAATACAAATAACAAATTAGCTATTATCTGGAAGGAAAGACTTCAGAGCTTGCAGTGTAAAGGGGGAAATTAACAGACACTAGAAGAAATGCCTCTGTATGGTAAATAATAACCAAGTGGGTGGGTCAGACTAATGCTGCAGAAGTTCAAAGGCAGCCTGGAACAGAACCTGAAAGAATGTCACTTGCCTGAGTGGAAGGAAATAGGGTAATGTGAGATAGAAAGCTAAAGCATCAACAATGGTCTTGGAGGATCCTTTAGGGGATGAAAGCAAAGAGATAAGACTGTGAGGCTGGGCGGTGACAGTGCACATCTTTAATCCCAGCACTTGGTAGGCAGAGCCCGGTGGATCTTTGTGAGTTCGAGGCCAGCCTGGTCTACATAGCAAGATCCAGGACAGGCACCAAAACAACACAGAGAAACCCTGTCTCGAAAAAAACAAGAGAGAGGGGGAGGGGGAGGGAGAGGAAGAGGGAGAGAGATAAGACTGCAAAGGGGCCAGAATGCAAAAGGCACCAATGAAGTTAAGATGTCATC